AGGGGATGGGGGATGCGTTGATATTAGTGGAGCTTTTGCTAAAGTCTCCACCGGAATTCTTGCCGCCAAGTTAAAGAAGTATGGGCTGGATGAATGGACTGTAAGGTGGATAGAAAGCTGGCTAGATCGTCGGGCTCAACGGGTAGTGATCAATGGCTTCATGTCTAGTTGGCAGCCGGTTTCAAGCGGAGTGCCCCAAGGGTCGGTCCTGGGGCCGGTTTTGTTTAATATCTTTATTAATGATCTGGAGGATGGCGTGGACTGCACTCTCAGCAAGTTTGCAGATGACACTAAACTGGGATGCGTGGTAGATACACTGGAGGGTAGGGATCGGATACATAGGGACCTAGACAAATTAGAGGATTGGGCCAAAAAAAACCTGATGAGGTTCAACAAGGACAAATACAGAGTCCTGCACTTAGGATGGAAGAATCCCATGCACTGCTACAGACTAGGGACCGAATGGCTAGGTAGCAGTTTTGCAGAAAAGGACCTAGGGGTCACAGTGGACGAGAAGCTGGATATGAGTCAACAGTGTGCTCTTGTTGCCAAGAAGGCTAACGGCATTTTGGGCTGTATAAGTAGGGGCATTGCCAGCAGATCGAGGAACATGATCGTTCCCCTTTATTCGACATTGGTGAGGTCTCATCTGGAGTACTGTGTCCAGTTTTGGGCCCCACACTACAAGAAGGATGTGGAAAAATTGGAAAGAGTCCAGCGGAGGGCAACAAAAATGATTAGGGGGCTGGAGCAGATGACTTATGAGGAGAGGCTGAGGGAACTGGGATTGTTTAGTCTGCAGAAGAGAAGAATGAGGGGGGATTTGATAGCTGCTTTCAACTACCTGACAGGGGGGTTCCAAAGAGGATGGAGCTCGGCTGTTCTTAGTAGTGGCAGATGACAGAACAAGGAGCAATGGTCTCAAGTTGCAGTGGGGGAGGTTTGGGTTGGATATTAGGAAACACTATTTCACTAGGAGGGTGGTGAAGCACTGGAATGCGTTACCTAGGGAGGTGGTGGAATCTCCTTTCTTGGAGGTTTTTAAGGCCCAGCTTGACAAAGCTCTGGCTGGGATGATTTAGTTGGGAATTGGTCCTGCTTCGAGCAGGGGGTTGGACTAGATGACCTCCTGAGGTCCCTTCCAACCCTGATATTCTATGATTCTATGAGGTGGACTCTGTGGGGCCTATTGCTTGTCCTTCTGCATTACATACCAGCTGTCCCTTGATCCGGACTAGGTTTGATTCCTTTGGCTAGGTGTGTCTTTCACTATCCACAGTATAAACACAGCAAGTCCACATGGGTTAGCATAAGCAAATGGAGATGTCCTATCTCCTAGAACTGGAAGGGACCTTGAAAGGTCATCGAGTCCAGCCCTCTGCCTTCACTAGCAGGACCAAGTACTGATTTTGCCCTAGATCCCTAAGTGACTACTACTAATGCAATGTCCCTTAAAAATCTTCCATTCTTCAACAGTTTTGAAGCTTGATGTATGGCAACAATCAGATTCACTTAGACCTCAGTGATTCTTTGTAGATTCATATATCAAAATAATACGGTGATGGGCACATTAGAAATGTCTGAGACAGAGCACTGATGTGCTATTCCACTTGCAGCAATGGTAACAAACTTTCATCTAAGACCAGGAGATCCCTCCTCTTTACTCTCCCTCAAATGCAGAGGGAGTCTGCCTGCTGGGTTGATTGCCATTTCAAATAAGGGAACTTGCCTCCAAAATATGTTGTACAACATTTTGGCTCCCTATATTACTTTTAGAAGATGCTGCGTTTGATCCTTGTTTCCTAGTGTATCAGCTTTGCCCTGCTCACAAAGTGGCAGGAAAGCTGTCCTAAAGAGTCAGTCAAGGATTCCCCCAGTGTAGGGGAATCTTCCAATGGCATAAAGCAGGTGCCAGCTGGCTGTACACAACCCACTTCTGTCCCACCTTCCCCCAACATGTGAAGGAGGTATGTCAGGGTGCAGAGATGTGGGCTGAGGGCATGGCAGGTGGTAGGAGAGCTAGGGCTGGAACACAGGTTTCTCTGTCTGCACACTGGTCCCTAAGAGATCGCTACTGCCAGCATGATTTTGAGCAGGCTCTAAGTTATGCTGGGGGCCATTTTGTATACCCGTGATTTGGGAGATGGAAAGATGGTTTAGTGCGACCTTGCCATCCTCTCTCCCCAGCTGTGCCAGACATAAGGACAGTTCAGCTGAGGGTTCAACCCATTAGGTTAATACTTCTTAGCTCTCTTGTCCAATCAGGTATCAAAGCTAACCTGTAACCTACTGTCTTCTGAAAAGTGACTGTACAAATGGCACATTCCCGTTGTTCACGTCCGCTCCTTGCGTGTTTACAGAATTGTCTTTCCTCAGATGAGTGACAAAAATAAGTCTTAACTCCTCTTAGTTTTGCCAAGTCAGCACACTTAGGAGAGGGAGAGCTGGATTCTTCCATCTTATTCATCATCAGAATTGTTTACAAAGTTGCACTTAATTACACCTGAGCAGCCGCACTGAATGCAGTGGGTGGCATAGGTGTCACCAATGGCCTAGTTTGACCTATAGCACCTCTTTTACCAGACATGATGTTTGGGGTGGAAAGACCCCAACCACCCCTCCCCTCACAACCACCCAACCATGACTGTCAGAGCCCAGACTGAGTATGTTGGGCTGACAGGAAAGAAAATCCTTTAGCTTATAAACTGAGTGCATTTGATCTGCTGTCCATTAGAAACAATACACACAGAGCCCCACAGTGCCATTTTTGCATTCATATTTTAGAGTAAAATTGCACATTCAGATGATCACTTCAGTGATAGACATTCCTAGTATAGTGTGTGACACTCTGTGCTTTTAATGTAATCTTGCTATATATAAAACCCCCAAATGTCCGGCATGATGCTGTTCACATGAAAGTGTGATTGTACTTGTATTGTAAGCTCTGTGAGGTTGGGACTGGCTTTTTGTGTGTGTGTGTGTGTCCAGTGAGTAGGTCTGACCCTGATCTTGACTGGCCTTGTAGGCACTACTGCAATATAAATAATCTGTCTATGATATTTATCTGCTCCCGCTGCCTTTAGTGTAGTATCTGAACATTTCTCTTTACTGTATTTATCCTCACAGCCTCCCTTTGAAGTGCTGTCATATCTATGTTACAGATGGAGGGAGGAAACTGAGGCACAGAGAGACTAAGTGACTTGCCTAAGGTCATACAGGGAATTTGGCGAAATAGGAATTGAACATGGTATTTCTGAGTCCCAGGCTAGCACCCTAACCACTGGAAGTCCTCTTAATTTTCCCTTGCTGACTTAACTATGCTACATCTGACTCACAAGGGCGATGGCAAGCCTTCCCGGAGTGCTTTAGAAAAACATAGCTGTATGTGAAATGATCCCTTTAAAAGTTGCTTCCAATCCATGGAATTGCCCTTCAGATGAGTGACACCTGCCCAGTCCCGCTTATCTCAGAACCCATTCCTAGGACAGGCCCATTAGTCAACTTCTCCCACAAGCACCTCAATGCTTTCTCCCATGCTATCCCTTGCATACCCCCCCAAAATTCTAAAGGTCACTCTCTTATGCTCCTTCACATCCCTCTTAGAGACTCATGTCTGCTGTGATGCCTGCAGAATGTTGCCAGTTGGTAACAGCAAGACGTGGCAAACTGTGTTGTGTGCACAGCTAGTCTGAATGAAAGCCAGCATATTATTGTTCTTGTAGCACCTAAGTGCCCCAGGCATGAACCAAGACCCCATTGTGCTAGGTGCTGTACAAACACAGCACAAAAAGATTGTTGCTGCTCCACCACCGCCACCTGTTAGTTTCATCCATCTGTTGCATCTCATCATTAATCAAGAAGCTCTTCAACTCAGGAACTGTCATTTTCCTATTTGTTTGTACAGCCCCTAGCACGATGGGGCCCTGAGCCCTGACTGGAGACTCCAATGATGCTACTGGAATGAAAATAACTTCTTCTGAAATATCTCCTCTCACCTATAGGAGGCTCCTATAGGTAAGGAGGGTGAGACGTACTGGCTCTATGGCTACATAGAGGACTTCAGTCTTTAGCTAGTCAATGTTTGTAAAGAGCTTTGAAGTGGGAAGTGCTATACAAGTGCTTCATGTTGTTGATATTCAGTGTGTAGGGGCTGTCTTCCATCACGTCTCACAAGCATTAAATTCACACAGAAAAAAATGGAAAAGAACATGAATGGAACTTTTGTTAGAGCTGTTAAGCTTATTCTTGTTGCTGTTGTGGCATGAACTTTATGCTGCAGTATTGCAAATGGCCTATTGGGGGAGTTGCAGCTCCACTAATCCTACGATTTACCTTTACAGTGAGACTTTTGCTCTTGAAAGACAGGCTGGATACTTTGATTGGACACTTACGGGTATCTGGGATATCCACAGTTGTAATTATTGATAACAAATTTTCTGGAAGGGACATTAGACCACATGCTTCAAGGGCTTGAGATAATCTCTTAACTATGACAGATCAGGATGAGACCTACATGTCGGGCAGATTATCCCACATAATCTACTGTGGGATTCTTAGACCTTCCTCTGATGAATCTGGACTGGCCCCTATTGGAGACAGGATACTGGGCTAGAAGGATCCAGTCTGGCAATTCCTATGTTTCTGTTTTCCTACTAGGATTTTTGTAGTGCCTAATTTAAATACTAGGGTCAATGGAGACTTTAGGTGCCAATTTAAGATCATTCTGTTTCTGGTTACCTTTTTAGTGAGCAGCCAGATGCGGCCAAATTAGAACAGTTGATAGCTGAATCAGAAACCATGATAACCTCTCTCCATCAGAAACAGCGTATGTTTAAAAGCGAGAAAATTCATCTGACTAAGGTACTGGAGACCACCCAAAATACGCTTTCCGAGGCACAGGCAGAAAGCCATGCAGGTAATTGACTTTTCCTTTGCTTGGATAAATTAAAGCAGATGTGCTGTCTTGAACTCTAGGCATTTCTGAAACAGACACTGTCACCTTGAAACCTAGTCACTTTCAAAAAATGAATTGAAAGTAGGTTCAATCATGGTGCCCATCCCTGAGTCCCTCTGTCAATTTCTGTGGTTTCACAATAGCATTTTCTTTTAAAAAATAATTTCTCTCCCTTGTTGCTGCCTGAAGGACTCCCACAAATGGACTCTTGGAGAGTGCTGGTAACAACACTTAATCACACATCTAAGTATTCTTTTTTTTTTTTAAACTTGAAGTGTCCCCTTACCTTCTTAACTTCTGTGGATAATAATAAAGATGCACAGAGTTTGGATCCACATCAAAACTTCCCCAAAGATCTGAGGAGTTTGGGTGTGATTAATAATCTTCTATATTGAGCCTCTATAGAAGAATCCTGTATGGATCCTTTCCTGATAGAACTTGAAAGTGATTCCTCCAAGGATCTCAATGTACTTTGGAATAACAATAAAATGGTTTCAGGATCTTCTTGAGATAGTGGACTTAGCCCGGTCCAGACTGGAAGGCCCATTGAAGTTCTGCATTTGGGTGTTAAACTTGATGGCAGTCTACACCTTTGTCACTTCCTCTTCAAAGCCAGAGATGTGTGTTGTGCAAGGTTGGCTGAGTCGGATATACAAAGCAAAGGTTCACGATCTGGCCATGATGGTGTCTTCTCCAAAGGTCAAGGTCTGTCCCCAGCAAAGCAATTTTTAAAAAGACTGGCAACCTTGTACCCTCCCAGCTAGGAGCTTATTGACCAATGGGTCAACCAAACTCACAGAAAGACTCTTTTGAGCACATAAGGCTCTGCTTTCTGTACCCCTTCTCATGAAAGGTCTTGCTCTTAGTGGACAAGTCAGCCATGAGAGTCTTTGAATTGCCGGCCTTTATGGCTAATCACGTTTTACCATTTTCCACATAGGCACTAGCCCAAGTTTCTGACCGAAATTATATTGAATTTTCATCTCTGTGTAAATCACTATCTGTGATTTGCCCCAGAGGCCCATAGGTGTCCTGTGGAGTCTTGGATATGCGTGTCAAGAGCCATTTGCTACTAATAATTTTTCAATTTAGAAGGTAGAACAGGCTGTTTGTGGCCATCGGAGAAAAATCCAAAGATCAAGCCATTTCTGTGAGGAAAAGACACTGCATCCAGTCTTATCAATTTAGGGCTCGTTTATCTAGGGAGATACTTGCTATCAAAGCAGCTACCCTTGGTGTGCAGCCTCCTGTGACATCATTAGGGCTGCTGCGTGGGGTTCAGCTCACACCTTCTTGAGTTGCTATTTTGTAATCTCAGTAGGGGTGTGTGTAGAGCTCGTGCCATTCCTTGAGTGGCTGTGGCAGTTGTCCTTCAGCCTCTTGCCAGAAAGTGTACCCAAGCCATGATGATTTCCAGCTCTGTGCACTCTCCCATATTACCTCAGTGAACATTCCCCTACCCTAATTACTCTGATAGTTACCCCTACCAATTTGTCTGACCTAATGACTGGCTTTCATCTCCACAGCCGATCAGGAGCTGCTTCGCTTGCAGAAGGAATGTCCTGAGCAAGCTCATGTGAAGTCTTTGGGGGATAATGAAGCCGACAGACAGCTGGATGCCTGCATCAGACAGCTGGGAGTGTTAAACCTCCTCGCTAGGAAGAAGTGAACTTCTGTCTCCAGCAGGGGATATGTGTTAATCAGCAGACCTGAAGTTCCGAATTCCACTTGCAGAAGATGTAGGCAAGTAGGAGGTGTGTGGCCACCAGTACGCTGAGCCCCTCTTGTAGGAGGCATGGGAAGAGACACCATCTGGAGCGTAGCTGTACCAGGTTAAGCAGCCTGACCGCTCCCCAATTTGATTTCATTTTACTTCACTTCATTCACCTTCCAGCTGTCCACCAGGACATAGCAGCAAAATATTTGATTGTTCTTCCCCAGTCTCGTCTTCTCTGGATGCTGCATGGGGGACATGAAGCAAAACCTGCTGTATGATGAATTCTGCTACTCTCTGTTTCATGTATGCAGGGTTTTATTTTCATAAATATTGAGACTAGTCCAATGGTTTGTTGTCATTGGTGTCAGGGATGCAGAGACTAAAGGAAACCAATGGTTTAAGAAGGGCCCATTTCAGCCAAACTCTCCTGGCATCAGCCATTTCCATGTCCGCTCACCCTGGTTTGTGTGGCTGCTTCCCATCCAACAATAGATTTCCCTTTCCAGCTAGTAGTCTAATTTCCCTGTTTAGATAGGCCATATCCACTGCGTTGATGCACTTCTGTTGCTGTCTCATTCCACTTCACACGGACCTATCGCCATTCTTTCTACTGGATTGCCTTGAAGTTTCTCCATGTTGAAAGTAGGGTATTTCCAGGCAATCTGTGAAGATCATCAGGTGTATGTGAAACACAACTGGAGACGGAAGCCATTTGCTGATCTGGAAGCTGGTCAGCTCATGGGAGACAATGTACAAAATGGTGGCTAGGTGTAATTGTAATGCAGTGCGGCTGGATTTCTAGAAAGCTCTGAGCAGAGACATGTTTTTGCATAACTTCGAAATAAAGTCAACTTTCTTCCATAAGCAGCTTCTCTTTAACTCAATCCTTTTGTTGCCTGAAAGTGCTCAAAAGCCCTGCATGCCCATGACCTTTTGTCCTGTCGTCAATAAGCAGCATGGGTGATGCTCAGTAAGGTGACTGATGCTGTGCACTGAGGATGCTATATAAATGCAGCAGCATCATCAGGGACCTCAGAGCACTCCACATATTGCTATGCAGGGATCACAGCAACCACCCTATGGAATATGGTAGCAATTTAACAGTAGCCAGGAACACTGTACAACAGGTTTATAAACAGGAAGTGAAATTACTATTTTTAGTGAAGCTACAGGGTAATCTTTAGGCAGGCACAATGTAATTGCTCACATTAAGAAGTGACCTGGCCATATTATTTGTATTATTGTAGGGCCTATAAACCTCAGGCATAGTCTAGGACCACAGTGTGTTAGCTGCTGTACAAACACAGGGCAAAAAGATGGTCCTGCCCCATGGATTTCGTATCCCTGCTGTAGTAGAAACTGCCATGGGATCTCTAATGACCAGTTGTGGTCAGGACTGTGCGTCCATCTCTCATATAATACACAGTTTCAAGCCTCCCCTCCCCCAATAACATTCTTGAGTATTGACCCAATGTTGTAACTCCAAGAAGAGGGTACCACTCACTCCTTGAAATACATGGATTTTCCCTAGCAATACAATTGCTGACCCAGCCCCAACCCTGCTTTAAGTATGAGACTTGATTAAATCACAGCCCGAGGTGAGATGGCTGCAGAGCCTGCCTATAAAGTAAGCAACTGTCCCCCAAGCTGTGAGTGCATACAGCTGGTCATAAATAGATGATGGACTGTTCAGAAATCACACCAGACCCCCCACAATCCTGAGATGCTAAATTCTGTTGTGGTTTTTTTTTCACCCTTCACCATCCAGATTTTGAGCCTTCAGAGTGCACTTTTTCAAATTTTTCTTTGATATCTTGAGGGCTAGAAATGTACTTCTTTTTGTTTCAAATGAAAGCTGAGATTCTTATCTAATCACTGCTCTCCAAGACCTGGGGCTTTTAAGTAACACCTCCTATGGCCTTGGCTATACTTGGGGATTCACGAGTGTAGTCGCGCTGCGAGAGCTCTCTCGCAGGGCTGTAAGTACTCCACCTAGCCAAGGGGAGTAGCTTGCAGCGCTGCGAGGGAGCATACAGCGCTGCGCTCGCTGCGCTCGGGGGTGGGGGGCGTTTTCACACCCCTGAGCGCAGCAAGTTGCAGCGCTGTACAGCTCCAGTGTAGCCAAGGCCTATAGCATGAGCCTTGTGATAAAGTTGTGAGAAATGGCATCATTGCTATGTTAGCTGTAGGTATTGGAAATTATGCTGCAGTTGTCTATAATTTCATATTGGGAATGTCGATGAGGTAGAATCAGTTATGGGTTTTTGATAAAAACCCAACTTGAACTAATCTCTGATATTAATAGGAGGGAAGAAACCTTTGTTTGCCTACTTAATGACTTGGGGAGATTGCACTGATCCTGCTGTACCATAATGTAACTGCCATTCTCTGGGAGAAGGCAATTCATTCTCTCGTTAACCTGATGCTTTGAAGATGGCATATTTTACTTGTTGGGGATAGGGAGGAGTGGGAGAGTAATACAGTACAGAATGAGCTTTGGTTTTTGCTTTACTTGAAATGAATGACTGTCCTTTCCCCTGATAGAGCAACAGTGCCCACCTTAATGTGCTTTACAGACCAGTTCCTGTCCTTCCTGGTACCTGCTTCCTGCCTGGTGCCCTCTTGGGTCCATCCAAACATCCCTATCGAACCTGTTATCGGTAGCCCCAGCAGAGTGGCCCAGACTGAATGGGCGATGGAGACTAAACTCTGCCTCCTTACAAGCATCCCTCCAGGGCGGTGTTGAGGCCCATGGATGGGGTGAGCAGTGGTGGGAGACTTGCCATACTGCATTTTTTGTGCTTAGAGGAGTCTAGTCCTGTTTGTCAAGAGCTTTGAAGGGGAAAAGTTCTGTATTGGTGGTAATTGTATTTCAGTCTGCAGGTGCGCCAATCCGGCACACTTCATGAATGCAAAAATATTTTTTTTCCAAAAGGAAGGATGAGTGTGTGTTAACTTTCTCATCCTTACTGGTGCTAGAGCATTAATTTTAGTCTGCGCTACTACAAACGGCCTCTTGGGGAGCACTGCAGCTCTACTGAAATCCAGTGTTTAAACACCACATCTTTAAACTTCCCTTCTGTATAGCGATAGCACTTTGTTTGCCTGAACATCTACCATTTAGTTTCTTAGCTCAGTATGTTTCCCTTTTAGAAAACGTATAATGCTGTGGTGCTTTGTAGATTAGAACAGCCATTTGTTTCAAAAAGAGGTATGGAAACCCAGGAGTCTGAGCACACTGTTATGACTTGCAGTCCTTGCAGAGTTCTGCTTACATGTTAAGATTCTAACCCTATATTTTTTGCACCACCAAAACATCCACTGACTTCACTGGAAGACTTGCCTCCTTAAGGACTGCAGGATTTGGCTAATTGACCACCACAGAGCTTTATTTCATCCAGGGATCTCAAAGTCCTTTATAAATAGGAATCGTCTTAGCATCCATCTGAGGGATTACACTGGAAAGAATTAGGGGTTGTACTTTGCTAAACTCTGCCACAGCTCTAAGCTCCGTTCACTTGGGTCCCCAAAAGGCCGTGCAAGGGTTAATACGTTGATGTTGTAAAAGGGCAATGAGAACTTTAGATGGAAAGTGTTTTATTATTTGTATTGCTGTAGCTCCCAGGAGCCCTAGTCATGGAGCAAGACCCCACTGAGCTGACGACTGTACGGACACAGACAGGTCCTGCCCCCGAGAGCTTACGTTCAAGTAAGTGGAGTCTTATCGCCTTGTTGCACTGATGCAGCTTTTGAAATAATGGCCTCTGTCCCCCTGGGGGAAAAGAATCAGACTTTGAATGTCGGGATTCTGCAGATCTGGCTAAATAAAAGCCGCACGTTGGAACTGCTTTGAAAGAGAACAAGTTAAAGCAGCACAGCTGCCAGGTCGTGATCCTTTACCTCCCACAAGGCATTGTCGACCGGCCGCACTAACCCAAGGGGCAGCAGTTAACTAACATCAAGGTGCAGTGATTGCCTGTGGTGTGTGTGCAAAGGGGTGAATTGTCAGGACAGTGATGCTGTGAAGCTGAAGGTGGAACCAGCTCACTGGGGCTGTGTAGTTGGCTGACCCTCAGCTTGGGCTCGAGCCGTAGTATCTTTGAGTCTCTTGCCCCTAAGTCCCTTATAGGAGCTCCCAGTCCTGGGCACTCATGCGGTTCCCAGCGGAAGTTCAGCTCACTCCTGGGGTCTTTTCAGAGCCTGAGTTACAGTCCCCTTGTCTCTAGCCCCCGACAGCACTTCCCAGGACCCACCACAGGCCAATGGCTGGAAGCAGACCTCCGTGGCCTTCACTTATACCAAGCTTATAGCGCAGGGGTGGCCAACCTGTGGCTCCGGAGCCACATGCGGCTCTTCAGAAGTTAATATGCGGCTCCTTGTATAGGTGCCGACTCCAGGGCTGGAGCTACAGGTGCCAACTTTCCATTGTCCCAGGGGGTGCTCACTGCTCAACCCCTGGCTCTGCCACAGGCCCTGCCCCCACTCCACCCCTTCCCGCCCCCTCCCCTGAGCCTGCCGTGCTCTTGCTCCTCCACACCCACCCCCAGAGCCTCCTGCATGCCATGAAACAGCTGATCTGGAGGTGCGGGAAGAGAGGGGGAGGCACTGATTGGCAGGGCTGCCGGTGGGTGGGAGGTGCTGGGAGTGGGGTGGGGGAGCTGCTGACGTATTACTGTGGCTCTTTGGCAATGTACATTGGTAAATTCTGGTTCCTTCTCGGGCTCAGGTTGGCCACTCCTGTTATAGTGTCTCTGCTTCAAGTGAGGGGTATAAAGGAAAAGGTTAGCAACTGCCTCAGGCCGA